AATTGTGTAACGTTTTAACCGCGAATCTAAAACTTTATTATTTGAGACTGTTGATCAATCAAATTATTTGGTGTACTGATGCGAATTGATTTTGTAAGATGAGCGTTTTATAAGATTGTTTAAGGTCGCTCGCGTAGTTCGAATTTCGCGACGGTAGCTTGTTTCAATATAAGTAAGTTATATGTCACGCGATTGTAGAATCAGATATACCGCTCGATGGTGGATCGCTGAGCTTTTGCTTTTTATAACTTAAAAACGAAACTCTGTGTTTTAAAGTAATAAATATTATGTATATGACATGGGATATCACAAACGCACTATTTATGCAATAACCAATTAATTATTTACTGTCAACTTTTACATTTTTTTTTTTTTAATTTACAAGATTTGCGTTATTATTGTAGAAGTGAGTTAAGTTAAGACTATAAATTGTATGTATAAGACTATAAATGGCATCGATAAGTTTAATAAGCCACAGGAATAAGTAATCAAGTGTTTTTGCGCAAAATCTAGGGCAATCGCCTCTACTCAGGACGGTGTTGGTGGCTCCTAGACCAGTCGCGAACTTAAACACTTGATATACCCCCTTGCGTAACCTCTAGAACAACTACCTTTACTCGTTACGATATTGGTAACCTCTAGATCGCGAACGTGACCCCATTTAACACATTGTTCTAAGCGACAATCTAGTATTAAAATTTTGTGACGAATTTTTCGTAAGTTTTGACACAATTTGCAAAAGTGTAAAAAAAAGGTGTTTCACCGAAACGGTGGGGAAATCACTAAAACTAGTTAAAACCTAACTTTTCAAAACAGTATGCGTTTTTCAGATGTTCCTCTACGACACAATAATATTTTTTAAAATTTATATTATCGATTAGCCTTTGAAAAAAATGTTTAAAAAAAAGGCTGTTCTGCGGCTTCGGGTGCCAAGACAACCCATCGAAATAGACGCATAGCGGGAGAAGTCTTTCTGCTGCATGAGCTAGATAACTATTAAGAGACTTAAGAGTTTTTTAACAGATAAACTAGCTAGCCTACGCTGTTGAAAAAATCAAAATTTATGTCACGATTTTTTCAAAACTCATGTGCATACATACATAATTGTAAAGAATCCTCGATGCTCGCTTCAACGGCTTAGCGATTAGCGAGCTAGCCTCCGAGTCGGGAAAACATCGCGAGGCCATGGGATAGAATTTCATCCAAAAATATCAAGATACATTTTCGGGCTTTTTCGATAACACAGTACTCAGGATGTCAAAAATCATGTATCCAATTTTGTTGAACGGAAAGTATGGAACAATCCCAATATAGGGAATTCGATTCCTGCATCTAACGGAGTAGTTCGTAGCTTACTTTTTATGTAACTTTATTTAATGTGTAATAATTCATTTGGTTTGATTATAAATTAAATTAACAAATAAACTATTATAAACTAACTCAAATGATATGTATAATAAACTAAATTTTTTAGTTAAGTGTTTCTTTCGAAAACTTACAAGCTAATACATTTTAGCAGCGCATCTTTCCTATGCATTAATAAATATTATGTTCTATACAATTTTACAATAAACAAATAATTGTTCATACGAGAATTGATTTTTATTGTGTTTTAGTGTAGGGGAATACTTATTT